TTTTTTTCCAACCGAAGAGAACTATTTGGTAAGAATAAAAATTTTACATTTAAGAAGAGCTATTTAATTTCAATAATTGAATTCATTATTGTTTTTTGTTATTTCTTTATTTTATTATATATGCTACTAAGAATAACCTTTTGGTGGTGGCAAAGCATCTTTCTTTTTTCATTTAATATTTAATGAAGATCATACCGTTGATTTACTTTTATAAGAAAAGCATTATTCTATTATTAAAACCATTTTTACTATTATTGTCATTTGTCCTGTTTTTTGGATTGATTTGTTTACTTTTTAAGAAAAGCATTATGCGTTTAGTTTGTTAATTGACAATTGAATTAATTGTCTATTACTAGAATGCTAAAAACATTTTACTATTTACGAATTATCATTTGTCCTTTTTTTTTGGATTGTACCATTGATTTAGAAAAACATTGTGCGTTTCTAAAAATGCTAAAAAACAATTTTTACTATTATTATCATATGTCACATTTTTTTGGACCATTGATTTATTTGCTTTTTAGAAAAGCTTTATGAATTTACAATTGAATTTATCATTCGGTTACTTTTTAATTAATTGACAATTGAATTGATTATTATTATTAAAAATAAAGCGTTGTGTGTTTAATTAAATTGACAATTGAATTGATTATTTGTTTATTACTAAAAATGCTTTGATCATGTCTATACATTCATTTTGCAAAGTTTGATCGCAAGCTTTGTAAATCTTGACTTTAACACTTACTTTGATCAAACCTGCCCATATAATTATTGAATAATTGATAAATGTTCATTTTGTAAACTCGATTTACAAGTTTCATAGATCTTGACTAACACTTACTTCGATCAAACCCACTTGTATGATTATTGAATAATTGATAAAAATTCGTTTTACAAGCTTCATAGATCTTGATTTTAACACTTACTTCGATCAAACCCGCTTATTATTATATTATTATTGAATAATTGATAAACATTTGTTTTGCCTGCCTAATTTAGTGTAATAAGGTTTACTTGTTAGTATCAGATGATGTGCCATATTTTAGGGATCAACAGAGCTTATTTTAGTTTGTATTACATATCAAACAGGTTTGTTACGTAATAATTTATTAATTTTTTTCGGTAAAAAAAAACTATGGACAATGTAAATGATGAAATTAAAAAGATAGTAAATGATAATGAACGTTTGATAAATAAGTTAGTAGTACGTCAAAAACGTCGTTTGAAACAATTATCCTCAGTGAAAGAATTTAGTAGAAGTTTAAATTTGGGTGGTGTTGGTGGTGGTGTTGATAGTAGGAAAACACATTCAGTTTTATTTCAAAGACGGAAACCAAAAGTTGATGAATCATCTACTGGAAATGAAAAGGGAGGGTCAACTTTAATTACTAATAATAATTATAAAGATAAGGATAACAGCAATAATAATAAAAATAGTGTCGGAAAGGATTCTGATAAAAAAACCTTCAATTCAACATCATCAACTACTACTACTGCTAAAAAAGACAATAAGGATAATATTAATAATCAGCAACAACAGCAAAAACAACAGCAAAAACAGGAAAGTGAACATGAATCAAATCAAGATTCCGAGAGAAATATTAGAAATGATTATTGTCAACACTTTGTTGATTCAGAGAAGCGTCCTCAAAATTTCATTAGGGACACTGAATTATCTCAAAGATTTGATGAGTATGTAATAACCATGTTATTATTATTATTATTATGATTATTACTATTACTTATATATCATTTGATTAATTGTAGATATCCAAAACTTAAAGAACTTACAAAAATGAAGAATGCTTTAGTTACAAATAGGGCAACACCACCAACTTATTTAAAAGCTGATCTTAGAACTTTTGATTTTAAATCTCTTGGAACAAAGTTTGATGTGATTTTGATTGATCCCCCATTAGAAGAGTTGGTATTTTGTCAATTAACTTTGATTGCAATTAAATTTACCATCAAATAAATAAATTAATCACAATAACATTATAATTTTAGATATTGTCGAAGATCACCATTGATTGCTGGGAATAATCCAGATTATTTAACTTATTATGAACTTGCAAATCTTAAAATTGAAGATGCAGCAGCAAATCCATCATTTATTTTTATTTGGTCTGGTGATTCAGATGGACTTGATCGTGGTCGGCAGCTGCTTCTTAAATGGGGTTATCGTAGATGTGAAGATATTGTTTGGATAAAAACAAATAAAAAATGTGAGGTAAATATAAATTGCATTATTATTATTATTATTTGCTATTTGTTATATTATTATTTATTTATATTCTTTTTTTGTTTGTTTTTTTATAGGGAAGTCGATTTATTGAGCCTAGATCAGTTTTCCAACACACTAAAGAACATTGTATAATGGGTATAAAAGGCACAGTACGAAGAAGTACTGATGGTCATTTTATTCATTGTAATGTGGACACTGACGTAATAATCTCTGAAGAACCACCTTTTGGAAGTTTGTATTTCTAAATATTCAAATTATAAATATTCATTAATTTCAATTTAAAATTTGTATATGTATATTTTATCAATAGGTAGTGCTAAACCTGAAGAATTATATCATATTATTGAACATTTCTGTTTAGGCCGTAGAAGACTTGAATTATTTGGTGAGGTAGATAGTAGTATAGTAGTATGGTGTAATTTTTATTACCTAATCATGCTACCACAAAATAATGATATATATTTTTTAGGATCATAACATACGACCAGGATGGTTAACTATAGGATTGGGGTTATCCAGTTCAAATTTTGATCCACAAACTTATGCATCATATTTTACAGAACCTGATGGCTATTTACTTGGATCCACAACTGGTAAATTAAATATGTATATTGATCTTTATAAATTATATAACTAATGAACTTAATTATATTATTCAAAAGAAATTGAAAATCTTAGACCAAAATCACCACCAATTCGAGATGCATCAACACCAAAGCCTGCACTTCCAGGTACTGTTATAAAACCCAAGCCTAAAAAGTCAAATGCCGCCAATATTTTACCAGTTCTTCCTCAAATGTCTCAACAACCTCCACCATCAATGCAACCTCCACCACAAATTCTACCACCACCTTTTCCTCATAGGTGGCTCCCAACAATGGATGGAAATATCTACGGAAAATGAATTTTTTTGTGTCACAAA